CCTGCTTTTCAGTGATTTTACCCAGTAAAATCAGTGGGTGAAATAAAAACCTGCTATTGACCTGTGCTAAAGAGAAATTTGGAGTCACAGAAGGCCCTCCAAAGGGGTCAAAAATGAACCAAGAAGCCGCGTCAGACAATGGAGAAGATCCTCCTTGATCATTTTGAGGTTATTCTTAGTACATGTGTCACTTCAGATTATCTCTCTAGATTCTGACAATGGAGCACAATTGCCTGATTCATTTTGAAGTTGATTCCCCCTGCCCCAATCTTCCCTGCCAAATATGTCCTATATTTGTGGAATGCACTCCCCAGGGAGGCTCACCTGATACCAATACTGACATATTTAGTCAATAGACAACAATGTTCTTGTTCTTCCAAGCATATGGGCACTGATACTGTGTTGGTTTTATTCTTTTTCTGATAGATATTGGCGTTCACCCTGTTGATAGGTAGGGAAGGGTTTTCCTGTGTTGTCTTTGACTTCTGCAGGTGAACTTTTTAGTGTACTGATTTTTTTTTTCTTTTTAATTGAGTCACTTTGGGACTTCTCTGTTTTGTAAAAAGTGATGCTTAAAATAAATAGCTAGTTTCATGGAACTTATTCCTAGGAAAATGGATGGAGGATTGCAGTCGAATTTACTAAAAAAGAGGGAGGGCTAAAATTGAATGAGCTACCAACTGAAATTGAATCAGCAGTCAAAACTCTCAGATTAAAAATAAATACTCTGTCCTCATCCTAACTGAAATTCAAGATCTTTGCTTGCTTTTTCCACTGCTGGCCACTGCTGATGTAATCTGAACAAATAGTCATCTGGCACCTTGATGTAAGTATGGGTCAGATTGCTCTATGTCATCTGCCTCTGACTCCCAACATAGAATAGTATTATGTATGGAAAACAATGAGTCAACAGCACACAATAGACTATATACTATTGGAGAGTCTGCTGCCTTCTCCAAAACATGGGGCAGATAGAAATAAACTTTACAAAAATGTTGCGGCATGCCATAATGTTACTGCCACTTACAGATTAACATATGATTTCAGAGAGGGTACTACTGCAACAGTCTGAAAATGATAGGCATTCATTTTATTTATTTGACCACAGGCCATAACAATGTTTGTAAATGGACTCGTTGCGGGATTAGCAATGTGCTAATGGATTTATCATGGAGTTCTTATATCAAAAACGTTGGAGGATAACTTCTTCTAAAGCTGTTTTTAAATACAGCAAGGCAAACCCTATGAAACCAGAAGAATTACAGTAATCCTTTTAGAATTAAGTTCTTGGCCATCAAAGAATAAATATTTCAGGAAGAGGTACTGCAGTCGTCCTTGTTAAGTGTAGCATGAGTACATTGCTGGCAAACAGCCACTGCAGCGTTGGTCTAATTACAATATGCACTGCCTCCCTGGCACTGTAAAAGATGACCGACACTAAAGAGATCATGGATCACCTAAACCAATTTAGCTCGTATGTAATCTGAGAGTGAAAGTCTTTTAGGAGAATAGAGGTGCCACCTGGGGAGATGAAGAATTAGCATGGGCTTTACGATGGTTGGGAGAACCAGAGTAGAGGTGCTCGCCATGGAGGGCTAAAGTTATTCATACTTTCAGTCTCCTGATAATATCTGCCATATGTAAGAAGTAGGGTCATTGTCTTCCTGGAACGGTGGAAGAAGAAGGTGGGCATGAAATTGTAAAATACCTCAACTTTTATTTAATTGTAGGACAGAACAGCATTTACTGTTCAATCTATAGACCTGAGTACAGAAGCAGAAAAGCACAGCATGGGAGAAGAGCCTTTGCTCACGGATATAGTGCACATTGTGCATGCATAAATTTCCACATTCAGCCTTCAGTTGAAAGCTCTAAAGTCCCTCATAGAGTTTGAAGAAACTGAACAGCACTTGAACAATGATGCAGAGCTTTGGTGTATGTGAGGTTAATAACTCAGCATACCACCCCCAGCAAAATAGGCAATATACAGTAGAGAAGAATGGGTGCAGCTTTAGAAATTAAAGCAATGTGCTGCAGTGGATTGAAATTGGAATTTTGTGCTGGGTCATCTCTTTTTAGTGAGAACACATATCTCACAGCTCATGCTTTGCATGTGGAGGATCTCAGGTTCAATCACTGCTATCTCTAGTAAAAGTATCTCTGGTCATAGTCATCTGCCTGAGACCCTTGATGGCCACTGTCTAGTCCATGGGTAGGCAAACTAAGGCCCAGGGGCTGGATCCGGCCCAATCGCCTTCTAAATCCAGCCCCTGGACAGTCCGGGAATCAGCGTGTTTTTACATGAGTAGATGTGTCCTTTTATTTAAAATGCATCTCTGGATTATTTGTGGGGCACAGGAATTTGTTCATTTTTTTCTTTCAAAATATAGTCCAGCCCCCCCCCCACAAGGTCTGAGGGACAATGGACCAGCCCCCTGCTGAAAAAGTTTGCTCACCCCTGGTAGTCAGAGCAAACCATACTGAGCTCAGTGGTTCCATGAGCTTATTCAATATAAGCCAGCCTCACATGTTTATATACTTAAGCTGAGTTAAGTTGGCTGTATTTTTCTTTCTGACCTTCTTCAAAATGTCCAAACTCGCACAGTTCTACTGATCTTCTATTTCCACAGAAAACGGATTGTAGTACTGATCTATACTGTTTCAAAAGGTGGCAGATCAAAGTATTTCTGATCATAATTTCATGGTCACAAGCTTATTTCCTATTTCACAGAGCTATTTGCCCATACTGAGTGTTACGGATCAATGTTCATGAAGGCTGATTACTTCATTCCACCAACAAGCCTTGTGCTGAATATTGGCATCCCAGCAGATCAATAAGTCAAACACTGCATGGAAAAAGATTATGTAGCAAGTCTGTGCAACACAGTGCATATGGTCTACACAATGAATGAAGCCTTTTTCAGGGTCACATGCAGCCTTGAGTAAAGTCGACCTAAACTGCAGTAGGGTCACAATTATCTTTGTTTACCACTAGCATATATCTTCTGTATTCTAAGTTAGTCCATTCTAGGTATTGTCTCAGGTTGCAGTTTTTGTGTATTTCAGCTGTACTACACATAAGGCCTGAGAATTCTCCCTCACATTTGAAAAATGTGTGCTGATACAATACTTTATAAAATGGCTGGAGACATGAGACTTTGAATGGTAGAATGACAAAATGTGAAGGATATGAATTTTGATTAATGAGCAAGGAGCTTTTATATTCGTCCAAGCTCCCTCATCAAATAAAGAATATAAGAAACATTTCCAATTTCTCAGGTCATTTATGTGGACCTATTTATGTAGTGTTCTTGAATAGTGTTCTCTTTGGACAGTGTTCTCGAAGCTACCAGCATGAGTTTGAGCAGACTGCGGGAGGCAGTGGAAGACAGAAGTCCCTGGCATGCTCTGGTCCACGGGGTCACGAAGAGTCAGACACGACTAAACGACTAAACAACAGCATTTATGTAGTCTCTTGGCTCATTCATGTTGATTTCCTGTCCTTCATTTCTCCTGTTGATATTTTCCAGTCCATGTTGTTGCATGGCAAGTTGCTGCTATATTTCTTGTACATTTCATGGTTAACTTGTTTTCCTCCAATAAAGATGCAGACAGCTGAATGTTAAATACAAACATAGTAGGACAAAGGACTCAACAACTGCAAACAGAGGTTGGTGAGTAGCAAGAAGGAATTGGTGTCCTCACCATGAACCTTCAAAAAGCACATTGGTTTATGCCAAGTGAATGCAACCTAGATGTTCCAATGTTTTGCACAAATAAGAACATATACAAGTCCTAAGACCCATTGCATTCGAAACACCTATTGCTTGTTGTATAAGTCCTTTTCCATTTATAGAAGCTAAGTCAAGATGAGGGACAAATCCTAAAAGTGAAAGCTCTCCCTCTCTGGGTGGGCTATCCTTTTCATTTCCTCCCACAATCAGTCAGTTACCATTTGACAAGGGCGTCTACCTGTTGGCTTTAGCAGTGTTGTACTTTTAGCTATACCACTTCCGTTGGAAAATCCTGTTTCCCATATATGTTCGAAAGATCACACAGGTTTTGTTCCAACAAGCCTTGATGAGTTCAGTGGAAACTGCATGGCCAGGTTTTCTCAGACAATCCCACAACGGCGCTAAGCATCTTTAACTCACATCTGTTTTAATCAAAGCTTCAGGCTTAAGCTTCACTTATGGATTATCTCTATGGAACAAGAAGCAAGGCCAAGGCATTAAAGTGAGATATTGTGTGAGTGTCTTGACTATCACATATTTACACCAGCTATGAATGAACCAATTCCAAGGTGTTTACTTTGCCAATTCTCTCTCTTTAGTTAGTTTATAATGAGTCAGGGAAACAGCCAGATTGTAAATAGTCTAGCTCGAATGTGTTCAGTACTGTATTAATATGCTCTATATTGCAGATTTCACTTCATCAAAGCGTCAGTTCTATATCTCCTGTTTGTCAACAGTGTTACAGCAGCTATCTTCATATATAAAATGCATGATGATCAAGGGCTTATCTAGAGACATGGAACAATTCCACAACTGTATTGTACAATATTGCACTGTACAAGTATTGTATTGTACAACTGTATTATACAATAATACAACTGTATTATTGTTGGCATGGAGACAACGGAGTGTATCTCTGGAAGTCAAACTAACTGTAGAATCACAGCACTTGCTTTGGCTGGAGAGATCGGTAGCTCAACTGTTGCACCTGTGTTGCTTTTGCTGCATTAGCAGCACCAAATTGACCTCTCTGGGGTGCAAGCCTGGGCAGAGTGCACGGAGGTCCTGGACTGCCCAGACAACAAGACCCCCCTCTGGGTCTCGCTGATGTGGTCCAAAAGAAAGCAATACATTTGGCACTGGCTTGGCTGTATGTTTCAGAGGGAGGCATGCAAGCTGTTACTGAAGGCAGCTAATGATGCATTTCCCACCGTTACATCTTCCTGGGCATCAAGTCCAGTCGCTATCTCAAGGCAAAGACTGAAGTGTTCATGGCAAGTGTCTTTTCGATAAAGGGAATATTCTCCCATCCAAGTACTAACCAGGCCTGACCCTGCTTAGCTTCCGAGATCAGACGAGATCGGGCGTGTTCAGGGTAGTATGGCCGTAGACTCGATAAAGGGAATATTCACTTCATGTGGAGTACTCGGTTTCATTTCCCATGTCAGTCTGCTAAGGATCATTAGGAAGAATTCAAAAGCTGTGTTGCTTAACATAAGTGATGTTAATATGTGTTAATGCAATGCATACAGCCACATTCTTCGCAATACTTAAGAAAGAAAGAAATATAGTGGCTCTGCTCAGTGGAAGAAAGAATAGGATTGTCACAACAAGTCCTATTACAGCTAGGCAGATATCCAAGGGAAGAACTTCCATAAGAGAAAACTGAATCCCACGTAACTACTGCACATTTGTTGCACTAAAAATCCCCTCCCTGCTGCAAAATCACATGCAATTAATCTTTCTTCACTGTCCTGGTCTCTTTCTCTCTGTTACACACATTCTCATAGTCACTTGGAAATCTTAAAAATGTAGGTGTGACCCTTACTAATACATTCCCATATGTGTCTAACACCTTTGTTTAACAGCCACAGACTTCCTCATGCACAGCCCTCCATGGAAGTGTGGATTTATTCTCTTATGAGCTCGTACAAAAAGCTGCAAACCGAAGTGTAAATAACATTCATCACACCAAGTCAATTGGAATGTGGTTGCTGCTGTTGTTAAGGTAGATTGGAGCTTAGGGGAAAGTGAAGGATTTCTAGAAAATAATTACCAGACTGGGGTTTTTTAAATGGTGAAGTCTGATATGAGCTCCAAGCTGGCAAAAAAATGCTCAACTTATACTGTGGTAGTGTTGTTGTTTTTAAGATAAATAACTAGGAGACCCTGATATATCCCATAAGCTTCTGGTTCTGTTTTTCATCAGAAGTAGTATGCCATGTGTACCCTGCTTCCTATGCACAGAAATACAAAGCAAACACTACATTTGTTCAATCGCATAATCCAGTTGTGCAATACAGTTGGGGGGAACATTCTTATCACATAGAATGTCAGAGGCACACAAAAGATAATGCAGTCAGGAAAGGAAGAAAGGAGGCTTTCAGCAGCTGTTCTTTGAGTCTTTCCTAATTTTCTGCAAGGGAAACTGTCAAAGTAATATGCAAGTTAGTATAATATTTGACATTTCCTGGTGTCGTCCCATTGTCTGGAATGTAGTTTATGTGGTTTTACCTTTTTAAAGCCCTAATGTAATAGTGGCCAGTTTTTCAGACCTGGGCATCAATATGCATTTAGTATGTCAAAGGCTTTGTGTGCTGTCTATTTTGTCATGTTGGCCAAGTATGATCAATATGTAATTGTAAGGAAAGAGAATGGTGATTTTGGAGAAAGCTTAGAAAACTCTGAGTGGTGAAGCTGCAGTCTGCAAAGCAGATCAGGCTGAACCAAGCCATTCTCAATGGCCCACCAGCCTCTCTCTTTCTGTTACAGGGCTGGGAGGAAGGGTTATTTTCTTCCTAACCCAGTTACGTGATGGTAGGAAAAACACTCTCCCTGCAGAGATAGCAACTGTTCTCCTCATTGCAGCACTGGGCTGGGTGCAGTATGACTGCTCCCCACATCAAATGGGGGGCGTACTTTGTGTGGTCGCACGCAGCACCCTGATCCTACACGGCTCCCAGCAGTATTGCCTGGCATCCCCCCCCCCCAGGCTGGATACCTGGAGGTTCCTGCCCAACCTTGGACAGTCAACCAATCCCGGTGGGGGAGGCGTTGCCAGCTGAGTTGACCAGGTAGGGGGTGGGACTTCCCTACCCACACAATACAGCATGGAACTTACCTGGGAGATCATAGTCGGCTCCAGAGCTCCTCCCACCCCACCCTCCCTCAGTTAAGCTTTCTTTTGCAGGTTAACTTCTTCACAAGTATGCTGGCACTGCTACATACTGGTAGCTGTTAAAGGGCCGGAAAGGAATTTTCCTGCATTGGCAGGTTTTGCCTTCTCTGTAGCAAAACGTCACACCTTTGGCAGTTTCAGGCCTTGGGTGGAATCCTTTAGTCTCTCTTCCCTAAAATGGGGTGGGGGCATGAAGCAGTGACCCATGCCCCCCCCATGATCCCAAAGTTCCCCATTAAAGGGGTTGTTCTGAGGGGAGTCATTGGACATAAGCTGAGACGTTGTCAATGGTCTCCCCTGTGTTGTGGCGAATTGGGGGGTGGGATCTCTGCTTGAACAGATGTTCTCCAGAGCCAGTTCAACCCCCACTCAATCTGGATAACCCTGATATTCCCCAGATCCCCAGCTGGGGACTGGGAGGGATAAACGCCCAAGGCCTAAGCTAAGGTCTCCCTACATAAAGTTGTGGCCAATTTCATCTCATAACACAGTGTCATGTGTCTCTTTTCCACACAGGAGCCAGCCTGGGGTTGGGGGGGGGGTCTCCGCCTCTCCTCCCAACCCAGCAATGCAATAGGGATCCATGTGTTGTGTGCCTGCATGTGTGTGTGCACACACACACGAAAGAGACAGTGAGATCGCTGGGCTTGAATGCTGTGGGTGGAAACAGGTATCTATGGGCAAGATCTGAAACCTCTCCCCCAGTGCTGCAGCCCCAATCCAATTTGTGGATCCTATAGCTATGGATTTAAGAAAAACAACTGCAGAAATCTCTTATCACAGATCTCCTGCACATCATCACATCTATTAATGCTCCAGACAAAACACCTTAACCATCTGGGGACAAAAGATCCAGGTTCAGCCAAATAATTTTCTTTGGATTTGATGACATGAGATTTGGATCATCACCTTTCCAGGATGAAACTCAATAAAAACCCGAGTATTTTGTAGCCTGAGATGGGGATAATCTTTTCTCACTTATTTATAAGTGCTTCAGAGTAGTGATTGCCAGCTATGAGGTTAACTGTGAAAGGTATAGTGTATTACAGGATGGGAAAATGTCACAACATTTGGTTCTAATTGAAGCTCAGCTTGGCCCACCCAAAGCTTGTTGGATTTTTTCCTCTCATCATTTGCTCATATAGTATTTAGTTTCTTCCTATAACTTGTCATTGTGTGATGATGTACTATTGCATGAACATGACCCCAGTGCAAATGCCAATTTCCGAAAGGAAGTCCAAAACATCTGTGCCCTTGTGGGAAGAGCTTCTGTGCTGTGTGCTTGTTGAAGGGGAAAACATTGTCAATATTTCACCAAATATAATGATTTAGACAAAGTACATATCTGGCTATTATGGTGTCCTCCTACCATTCTGCTTTGAAAAGCTCTATTATTCAGAGGTCATTTGTTTTATTTATTTAAAAATCTATATCCCAATCCCACTTCCCTGAGATATTAATGGCCAAGGTAACTTAAATAAAATTCTTGAGGGTTTTTTTTGTTTTTTTTAATGCAGGGAACATGCGCCAATCTAATACAAGCCAGACCACCAGCAGCAATAAAGCAGATACACAAAGACCAGCAAGAATTAAATGCCATCAAAAGCTTTCCCTGTTCAGCTGGCATCAAAAGTGTGTTGAAGAAGGCACCAGAAAGTGCCATGGTATAAAGGTATATAATATACAACTATATAACACAGTCGCTTTTATTGTAACTCTGAAATTCCATATAGTCATTGCACCGATCCACAATTTTAATGTATTTTTTTAAAGGCACCACATATATACAAGTAGGAATGACATACCCAGAGGGCCACAACAAAAAATACTTACCCCTGGTAGCCATCCACTCAGAATACTTAGGGCCTCAGCTGTCAAGGTCAATGTTATCAAGTACCTGCAGGGGCTCATAGCCCAGTGAGACATCTGAAGGCAGCCCTGTTTAGGGAAGCTTTTAATATCTGAAGGACTATTTTAATATTTTGTTGGAAGCTGCCCAGAGCAGATGGGGAAACCCAGCCAGATGGGTGGGGTATAAATAATAAATTATTATTATTATTGACATCCTTGAAGTTCCCTTACTCTGCTTCTCAATCTTTGTCACAATGATGGCGACATCTCCATATGAAGTAAAGTGACCTGTGCTTTGGCACATCTACCCTGTACATGCTAACCATTATCATGGCATCCCTCGAAAACTCTAGATATAGTCCCAGGGTTCCTTGGTGGTTTTCTGAGAAGAGGATGATCACCATCATTGGTCCTCTTATTTGTTCACTAATCTTTTGCATTCATGCCTCAGAGATGGGGAGAGTATCTTACATATGTATGCTTAACAGCAATCCTTTTTATTGCTACGTGTGAGTGGTTTATTTCTGAGCGTTCAGCTAATAGAATGTTTGAGATAGTGAATGATTGTTGTGGTTGCATGGAATGGATAGTGACTGAGATTGGGTACTCATGTGAATAATGTGTGTTATGTTGGTTGAATTTTACATTATGCTGCCTTCTAATTCTCTGATTTTTATTTTTTTTGATACTGTTTATGCATATGGATATTGTTTATGCATTTGTTCCATTACTGTATATATAATGTATTTTTACCTATTGTAAACTGCTTCGAGTTCTTCCAACAGTAAATGATCTATAAATGCAAATAAAAAACAAATGAACAAACCAATAAAGCTGATTTTAAAATAGGTGGGCAAATAAGCATTTTTACTTCCTGGATAAATACAGATGTAGACGGAGTGGAAAATAAATGAAAGCTCACACCTGCCAAAACATCTGTCTCAGCATCTTTAAGAGAGGCTTTCTTTAAACCTGGAGAATTGTGGTTCTGGTGAATAGGATCTTTGCACAGAATTCAGGAATAAATGAGACTGCTTTGCACAGAACTAGATTTAAGGGCAGGCAGGAGTTAAAAATAAGCCAACATCTCCATTACTTTTTTAAAAGCAGAGGATGTGCTTGATGTCTAAATTTTCCTTTACTAAGCAGGAAGAAGGTAATAGTACAAAAGTTTAAAGATTAGGGACCATCAGCCACTTTAGCATTTCCTGTCCCTGGGATCTGTAATCTCCCATTAATTACTAATGTGCCAGTGTGATGGCTTGGCTAGTGGAACAGCAAACAAAGGATGATGAGTGTACCAAGCTAAAAGTGGATTCCTTGAGGAGTTTGAGCCAAGGTTGATGGCTGATGCTATTATTTT